CTAGGGGCGGCCTAATATTAGTTCGGGCTTCGGAGTTTCGTATATATAGAAGGTTGCTTCTATTATTCGTTCGACTCCTTCCGAGTCTACGATACGTAGGCGTATAACGTGCGCTCCGTAGTAGTAACCTAGTTCTCCGGTAAAGGAGGATGTAGATAGTAATAGCGTATCTACTCTCGCTAGTAAGCCGGCTCGAAGTACGAACTCTCTCGATATAACGTTAATATCGGCTATATCGTCTAGTAGGTAGTCGACCTACATTAGTCCTACCTTCGTTTCGACTACGCCGCGCTAGTAGCGCGCTAGATGTATATCGACCTTGCTTAATAGCTTTAGACTTAGAGTCTAAGCTTTTTCTCGGAGTTCTTTACTTTTTCCGTAACGACTACGGTAACCTTACTCCGCGTATTACTCGGGCCTTAGCCTTCTACGGCGCCGCCTTTAGCCTAATATATCTTATTAGCATAGCCGGTACGGCTATAGTTAGAGCACTTTAGGTCTAAATTAGCGCCTTCTTTACGCTTACGTAAAGGCTACTCGCTACTACGGTTAGACTTAGGTTTACGTTCCTTATTACGATTGTAGGTATTCTTTCGTAGTCTACTACTACTACGGTTATAGTCCTAAGACTTATAATTACCGCGCTTAGTACCCGTAAGCTATACGCTCGTACCCTTATCGGCTGCTTTAATACGCCTTACTAGCGCTACTATCTCTACTCTTATTATAGGTATAGAGTATAACTTAATAATCTCCTAACGGAGAGCTAGTCTTAGCTTAGCGAGGAACTAACGTACGAGCTACGCTTACGTATAGTCTAGTTAACTCTCTAGTACTTCTAGTTTAAGGGCGAATTGCTTTACCGTTTAATCCTAGCTCTATYRAACCCTTTCGTACTTAAGCGTAACGCTAAGCGCGCGGTTCGTAGGGTCCCCGACGGTGTTACGTACGAACGATTAGAAATCCTCCTACGTATAGCTCGGCGTAAGCGCCTCGATATCGTGCTCGTTATACTACGACTCCGCGGCGTCTCCTCCTAGCTACATAACGCTATAGAGGACCTTATTATAGTTACTCTTTAGGCTAGTAGTAGTATTAGCGAAGATTATCTTAAGTTAGCGTAGGAATTCGCGTGCCTCTTTAATAGAATCCCCTAAGAATAGTTTAGGATCCTTTATCTTAGGTCTTACGCCTACTCCGCTACGCGTATACGCTATRCTTAAACTCGAGGTGCTTATAGCATCCGGATCTTCCTTATATAAGAGGCGCGTAGGCACGCCGCGACGGGGTATAGTAGTAGTTACGCCTACGTCGGCGCGGTTACGATTACGCTTTATTTGTTAGACTTCTAACTAAAGTTAGCGAATCGTCTCTTACTGCTATAGAGCCTGCTTCTCGCCTTCGAAGCGCTAGATTATCTTATTAGCCGTCTCTTCCTTATCGCGTTCGTTTTCTCCGTAATCTATCGTATCTTCGTTTAGAGTAGGCTATATAGGCTTTACGGTAGCGACTTCTTCGACATCTCCGTAGTTAGGGAGTTCTTTAACGCGTTCTTCTTCGTAGCGCTACTCGGGAGCAGTCGCTTCGCGGGCGGCGCGCCTAGGGGCTATTCTATTAGGATCTAATAGATCGCTACCCTTAGAGAGGAAGAAGAATTAGAATTATAAAGGTAAAGATGTAGCAATGTATTAGACACCCGTAATTACTCGATTAGAGATAAGACTAATTCTTGTAGGTTAAATGTGCGCTGTACGTAGGAGTTATGCATACGCTAAGCCTACGCTAAGCAGTTAGGTCACATTATACTCCCTTCTCTAAGGTTAGTTAATCCAGCCACCTCTATTAATCCTATTATTGTAAGGGCTCTTACACGGCCCTTACACTTAGCTACTAACTTATACTCTTTCTTTATAACGGTTATATACTAATTGGACTATAAGGAACATACTTTGCCTATTAAGAGAGAGTATAACCGAATACAAAAAGAATTACTAGATCTAATATTTCGTAAATTAATTTATAGCTTAAGCTCTACTCTATACTCTTTTCTAATAAGGTATATATACTAAATAGACTATAAGGAATATATTTCGCTAATTAGGAAAGAGTATAATCTTATAGCGTTAAGAAAAAAGAGAATATTCGATCTTATCTTTCGTAAATCGATTAATAGCTTAGCTACTAGCTTATACTCTTTCTTAATAACGATTATATACTAAATAGACTATAAAAAGTATATTTCCTCTATTAAGAAAGAGTATAACCTAATAGAATAAAAAGTACTAGATCTTTTCTTTCGTAAACCTATTTATAGCTTAGTCTCTAGCCTCTACTCTTTCTTAGTAACGGAGATATACTAGTTATATAATAAGAGTTATATTCTCTCTATTAAGAAAGAGTATAACCTAATAGCGTTAATAAATAAGAATTTCTTAACCCGATCTATCTTAAACTTATTTCTCGCTTAATCTTTAGGCTATACTCTTTCTTAATAAAACATATATACTAATTAGATAATAAGAACTATATTCCTTCTACTAAGAAAGGGTATAACCTAATAGAGCTAAAAATAAGAATTTCTTAACCCGATCTATAGTAAACTTATTTCTAGCTTAGCCTATTACTTATACTCTTTCTTAATAGAGAGAATATAGTAATTAGGCTATAAGAAGTATATTACCTCTATTAAGAAAGAGTAGAGCCTAATAGTATTAGGATATAAAAATCTTATTCTTCCTTAAATCTATTAATAGCTTAGTCTTTTACTTATACTCTTTCTTAATTAAGAGAATATACTAATTAGGCTATAAGAAGTATATTCGCTTTATTAAGAAAGAGTATAATCTAATAATTAAGAATTTCTTAACCCGATCTATCTTAACTTATTTCTAGCTTAGCTCTTAGCTTATACTTATTCCTACTAATAATAAGACTATAATAAGTATATTCTATCTATTAAGAACGAGTATAATCTAATAGCGTTAAGAAATAAGAGCTATTAGATCTAATTCTTTTTAAATCTTAGCTTTTAGCCTATAATCTTTTCGACTAATGTTTATATACTAATTAGACTAGAATTAAGATAATCTATCTATTAAGAAAGTAWAGCCTAATAGTAATACCGTAGCCTTATAAGCATAGTACTAGTAGAATATAAAACGACATTTAGGACACGGCGAGTTTAAGGGTAAAGTTTCGAGGATACATACTTTATAAGCCGATTACATAGCTTGACCTTCCCCTATCGCAGCTAACGCTATAGCCTTTACTACCTTCTCCACCATCGTTATTAGCATCTTAGTACAAATCTTCATCCTAACGCGACAAATGTACTCTCCACTCGTAGGCGATGCTACTACTCTGCTTACACACGCCCCTTTAATTCCTCGCAAAGCGTCTTCCACTTCACAGCTTGCTTCCCTACCTCTTATGCTGCCTCCGCGAGTCCAAATCCCATGGCATTCATCTTACCCAGCATGATATTTTAGGTCAGCTCAGAACGGAGGTCAGGATAACGCAGCTCAACATGACACACCCCATGTGCAATCCACTCCAAAGTTGCACAGCGGTGGGCAGGAGTCTTGACAGCTCCGGAATCGTCAGATGAAGGCTAAGGGGAAGCGCCAACTTCGCCGTAATAGCGAGCATATAGGGTCTATATCGATGCTAGCAGGACGACTTCGCCGTCAGCACGCTTTGATGTTTGATCGCTTGACAGCAACAGAGATACGAGGTCTCGAGAATATACAGGCAGAGCAGTTCAATATCAATGTGTGCGAACCTCTCCTCTTGTGCTACAGCTTTTCGTGCTTTCTAGTATCGAGAACAACATCCCATTCAATCACTCATACATGGCACATGAAAACTCATTTAGCCAAATCCCTGCTTTTGACCGTTATCTGCGTCTCATAATCGAGCTGCCGCTCAGCATCCGTCAACCACCTGACCAACACCAATCAACCACCCTCATGACTCCCCGTCACTCCCCGTCACTCCCCAGCACTCCCCAGCACTCCCAGCATCCTCCTCCGCCTCGCCCTCCACCTCATCATACTCCTCCAGCTCCATCTCCTCGTCTTCCTTCCCCTCCACTTCTTCCTTCCCCTCCACTTCTCCCTCCACCTTCACTTCTTCCACCWTCTCCACTTCTTCCTCCACTTCCGCCTCCACCTCCTTCTCCACCTCCTTCTCCACCTCCTTCTCCATCCTCCCCACTGCAATCGCAGCAGAGCCCGGGCCCTGACTCGCGATCTCTTTCAGGATTGCCAACACCTTCGTGAACACTCTCTCGAGGTGCTTCCATGCCCTCGAGAGAGGTCGCAGGCTCCTTGTCGTCGACTTCGACGCTCGCATTCTCTTCTTGTGACTCGCTTCTGTGGCTTCCCTCGTCCACATTCACCTTCGCACCACCATCTTCCACATTCGCATCTCCATCCTCGGCATCTCTGCTGAGGTGTCGGAGGAAGAGACGACTGTTCGTCGTCTGTCTCCGCATCCCCATTTTCCACATTCGCATCTCCATCCTCGGCATCTCTGCTGAGGTGTCGGAGGAAGAGATGACTGTTCGTCATCTCTCTCCGCAATCTTTTCAGACTCCTCCTCGGAATCTGAAGCAACGCCGTGACCGTTCGTCGTCTCTCTCCGCCTCTCCATCCTC